TATTGATCATAAAATAAATGTTATAAAAAATTTATATAGTATTGTTAATAATACATAAATTGTTCGTTGCTTATTTTAAAATGCGTAAATGTTTATTTTAGATAATAACAGACGAATTTTAATTAAGTTAAACGTGTTGAGACAAGTGAATAATTAATAATAAAATTATATATATTTCTCATTTTTATGACAAAAAAGAAGTAGAACTGAAATTATAAAACCGTATAACTATAATATATACGATTGCATATATGTCACAGTTAAAGTGTTAACTTTAGTAAATGTGTAGTGTATACGTTTGCACTTACTAGTCAATGTATACATTTACGTATAGCAAATGTATATATACATTGACTACAGTAAGGGTTGGTTTATAATACGCCGTAACCTGTTAACTTTTTCCGTAATCTGTAAGAATTGATCAATCATAGTCAATTATTCTCCTCTCATTCGACTGTAATTGGTCAATTCTTACAGATTACGGAAAAAGAGTTAACAGATTATAAACCAACCCTAAGTGTATACATTCACCGGAATTAACACTTTGTAACTGTGACTTATATATAAAATAGCAGGACATAAAATAAAATAAAAACTTATAATTAAATTAAAATTTTTTAATGTGATAACTCGCATATATTTCTTCGAACGCGGTTATTTATCTTCTGTTGTCATTTTTTATAATGTTTTAACTCTTAACATTTAATATTTATAAAATATAAATATTAAAATAAATTATATTTCGATAGTGAACAAATACTTTAACTATATATTCGCAACTTAAATTCAAAATTTAATTAAATCTGAAATCTTGTATATATAAACTATATTAATTGTAAAACCTTTATACTTTCTTTCAATATATTACACCAAACGTCCATAATATAAATGAAGTAAGTTCTTCTAAAATGTCAAATGTTTTCATAAATCGTGTATGATATATACAAAAATAAATATTTTGTTCAGCTGTTAAATAATTTAAAAATAAAATGTGGTTTAAATATTTAATTAACAACATGATGGAGGCCATGGAGCTTCTCAATTACACTCTTCTGTACTTCAAATAAATAAAGTATCATTTAAAAAACAGAAAAGCCAAAGAACGTGATGGTTAGAAACATTTGATTCGTAATATCTTTTTAAATTCATTCCCTAATTATTAAATTGGCGATAAATATCTAGGTATTATCCAAAGTTCTTTGGCCAGCAACACTTTTTTCTCTCTTCACGTTGGAAATGGTTGAAAAGCATTGGACGATATCGGACGATTTCAGCGCCTCAGATTGGCGACACTGGTGTTGGACAATCTAGTTACTCGTCACCCTGCTTTAGCACGTTTTAACGCTTCTAGCTACACATAAAGAAACATGGCGCTTATTTCTACAAGGGCGATTTTTAGTCCCGGTAAGTGCAAGATATCTGATACAAGACGTGTCGACGATAGCAACAGAATTTCTAGGCGAATTTTCGCCGATCGTTTTAACACTTTTCCATCGAAACATGTTTATACCGGTTATTGTACACGATCGTCATTGCAGGAGAGATAAGGTTAAGTGCGGATAGTAACAAAGTGCTTGTTTTTCATCACGAAAATCTTTCTGTTCCAGTGTTGAAGCAGACTCTCAAACAAATTATCTTCGCGAAGCAACTACTAAAATGTGTAAGTGGATGGTTGTCATGAACAATCCCTTAACTCTCTCTGGACTTGTGGTCAACAATCGCGATTCTCAATCGCATAATGCTGATCCTATCTCTTCTTCTCTTTTTATAATGTTGATTCTACAATGAGTCGGTAGTCAGAAATCTTAAGTCTTAAGCAGTCTTAATTTAAATAAGTGACTATGATTTTTAGCATCTACAAGTTAATTGTTCAGTGAATCATTAGGCTCGATTAATGGAAAGGAATAAAGTTGAATTTGGCAAGTCTTAAGAAAATTGGTAGTCTTAGGTGGTCTTAGTACTATTTCATTTGTACGTTTTTGTCGTATGACAAGTGTGTGCAGGAGAGGTCCTTGGATATCTATCCTATAGCCAATCGACAGCCTCAAAAAAATTTGTAGCATAACAAAATTGTACAAATTAAATAGCAGCCTTAGCCATACAAGTTTGCTACTGGCCAACTTCACTGATTCACTAATAATGTAGGTTCCACAATGAGTCGGTAATCCTAAGTGATCCTATCATACATTTTATAATAAGCCATTAGTAATAAATCAGAAGTAATAAGTCAGAAGCTAAAAATTGACTATATATAATCATAGTCAATTATTTTTCTCACATTCAACCATGATCAATTTCTGACTTCTGATTTATTACTAATGGCTTATTGTAGAACCACCATAAGATTTAAAATTACTGACTCATTGTAGAATCAGCTTAAGAACTAACTTAAATTTAGAATTAACTTTAAATTGTTATTTATGAAAACTTGATTGTAAATGAGCGCCGCTTTGATCAATATTTTAATAAAAATCATGATGTTTTTGTATTATATGGATGTTAAAATATGTATAGAGTGGGGGATCAGACCCTTGAAGTATTACAAGCTATATAACTGCATATCATTTTTGAAAAGCAGCTATGTGTTTACATCAATTGATTTATTTCATTGTTCTGTGCATAAAGGTATTAAGATATGTTTATCAAAAAATTATATATATATATATATAAGATATTTAATATTTTATGTGCTATAAAAAAGTACTACATCTTGTGATTAATTTTTTAATATTTGTATCTTAATACTTTTGTATACAGAATAATATAGGGAAATCATATTATGTAAAAGAAAGTTATTTTATTTAAAAAGAAAGTGGAGGCAACCTACATGTGACTTTGAAAAATTGATTTTTCTTGTTTTATCATTATTAGCCCCCTTTAAAATCATTCAATTTTTGTTTGAACATATTTTTAATTCAATGCATTTAATTCAACCACTTTCAGAGATAATACTTGTAAATGCATCACTCTGTATATGGTTTAATTTTACTAATTTTTTTATTTTTATATTTCATTAATTTACTGTCTTTAACATAAATATGTTCATATCATTCATTGGTCATCTTTTAGTATATACTACTAGTATGAAAATATATAATATTGTGAACTACAAATTTTAGTATTGACAGTTTATATATCTATATATCGAAATGTGGTTATTGTCTTGGTGTTATAATAATGATGTAATTTCTTGCTAAACAAATTACATTTAATTTTATATCATATATACTTTTTAGCAACGTCGTCAAGTGAACAGTCGATTATTCCTTCCGACTGTTACCAGTCAGAGATTCTATGCAGAAAAGAAGATATTCAGTCGCGATAAACCACATTGCAATGTAGGCACTATAGGTCATGTAGATCATGGCAAAACCACTCTGACAGCAGCTATTACCAAAGGTATTAGTTTTATTTATAGGATGATTATCTGCATTGTAAATGAAAGCATAAACTAACAGAAACTTGTCAATAGTCTTGTCTGAGAAGCAATTAGCAACAGCTAAGGGATATAGTGAGATCGATAATGCTCCTGAAGAAAAGGCTCGTGGCATTACCATTAATGTTGCACATCTTGAATATCAAACAGAAAATCGTCATTATGGACACACAGATTGCCCAGGTCATGCCGATTATATAAAAAATATGATCACAGGAACTGCTCAAATGGATGGTGCTATACTGGTCGTCGCTGCAACGGATGGTACAATGCCACAAACTAGAGAGCATTTGCTCCTTGCTAAACAAATTGGTATCAAGTATATCGTTGTGTTTATTAACAAGGTGTTTATTAATATAATATAAGCAAAAGTAGCAAGGATAAAATAATAAATGTATTAAAATTTTATTCAATGTTTTCAAGGTCGATGCTGCTGATTCAGAAATGGTAGAATTAGTAGAAATGGAAGTACGAGAGTTGCTTTCTGAAATGGGTTACGACGGCGATAATATTCCAATAGCAAAAGGTAGTGCGCTCTGCGCACTTGAAGGAAAAAGTCCCGAAATGGGTTCACAGGCTATCCTGCAGTTGTTAGAAATGGTAGATAAACATATCCCGACTCCAATAAGAGACCTGGATAAACCCTTCTTACTTCCGGTAGAGAATGTATATTCTATTCCTGGTAGAGGTACCGTGGTTACCGGTAGACTAGAGCGTGGTAAACTGAAGAAAGGGACAGATTGCGAGTTCATTGGTTATAATAAAGTTTTTAAAAGCGTAGTCACAGGTATAGAGATGTTCCATAAAATATTAGAGGAAGCCCACGCTGGGGATCAACTTGGCGCTCTAGTGAAAGGTGTAAAGAGAGACGAAGCAAGAAGAGGCATGATAATGTGTAAACCTGGCTCTATGAAGGCGTATGATCACGTAGAAGCGCAAGTGTACCTGTTGAGTAAAGAAGAAGGTGGTAGGAAAAAACCGATTGCGAGTATGATACAATTACAGATGTTTTGTAGAACGTGGGACGTTGCAGCGCAATGTTCGATAGTGGGAAAGGACTTAGCTATGCCAGGAGAAGATAGCACGTAAGATATTTGTTTTTCAAGAATTTTATTATTTTCTACGTTCATTTTTCTATACTCACTGTGTTTTTTACTGCAGACTCGTACTAAAGTTGATAAGACCAATGGTATTGGAGAAGGGACAACGTTTTACATTACGAGATGGAATAGTAACTCTAGGAACTGGTGTAATCACTAACACCCTGAAAGCACTTACGGACTCAGAGCGACATGATCTTCTCGAGGGCAAAAAGGTGCTGAAGAAGGAAAAGAAAGCATAAAGAAATTAGACTCAATAAATATTTGTTACAAAATAAAGCAGAATTGTGCTGTGTAATAAAGAAAATATAAATCAGCTTAATGAAAATTTGATAAGATGCGCAAGATGCGACCATCATAGATAATATAATAATGAATACATTTATGTAAAGAACATGCATTTCACTACATTGTAAATTGTATAATTTTATTCATTAACAAAGACCAAGTATCAATTCAGTTATTAATATATATGTGTATACACACACAGGATTGCCCACGTAAGTGTTACAAGCTATTATCTCTGAAAGTATGGGTCAAATGAAAAATATGTTCAGACAAAAGTTTTTAAGTTCGAGGGGGACATAAGATGGAACCATTGGTTTGACCTTGGCTGATGTTGGCAAAGTCAGGGCAAGGTCAATATGAATTTTTTAAATGGAACTCCCCCAGTTTTCATTACATATTGTAGCACACCTCAAGAGCTTTTCAAAACCTACTATAATAAAATATTTTTTTATGAAGTACTTTTTGAGTCATTGGGTACTTTGGGTAATGTTAATTACCCAATGTTAATTACAATATCGCGCTAGCGATTGAGTACCCAAAGTATCCAATCGCGATATTGTAACTTTTAAGCCTTCTAATAAAAATGGAGTTTTATTTAAAAATTTTTAAGTTACTTTACCTTGAATTTAACAAGGCCACCTAAAGTCAAACCAATGGTTCCATCTTATGTCCCCCTCAAAGTCATAAAACTTTTGTCTGAACACATTTTTCATTTGACACATACTTTCAGAGATAATAGCTTGTAACACTTTACGTGGGCCATCCTGTGTGTATTTATAAAGTATTACTTTCATTCCTTCCTCAGTTTTCATGTATCTGCATTGGTAGATGTATTGTACGAGTAAAGTTTTAAATAAACAAAACATTAAATTAGTAAAGTGGATTACACGGATTAATATGAATCTGAAGGCGTTGTAGCTTCAAAAACAGTTTGATAATTTATTAAAGTTCATACATCAGCGTGATACAATCTGCTTCAAGCAGAACAATGAAACGCTATTAGAAGTATATAGGAATTAAATATACATACTGCAATGTGTTATCCCAGTTCCTTTCTATGTTAGATATTCAGCGGTGTAATTTACATGTAATGTATTTTTTCTATCAGATTTCTCGATTAATGGGAATGGATTTCAAAGGGAAAGGTTAACAATTTCACACTCCTAACACAGAACGGATTTCCTTGTGTAGAAAAAAAACACTTCATATAATTTAAGTTGAACAAATCATACATACATCTTTTGCTTATAAAAATAGCAAACAGTCCTTGTCGAAACGGGACAGACGCAACAGGTTACGAATCTGTTTCACTTCAATCTCGAAACATTCTTTCTATTAAAATAGAAGACTACACCACGGGAGATGCTTACTCACGAAAGATGGTCGCTCTTTCAACATTCGTACCTTTCAATTTACACACTAGTAAATTTCTTAAGCAGTTTCATCAAGAAAGTGTATATATGGCATAAGGTAGTTTTTTTTTTTTAATGATACTTCAGTCCAGTTTTATTTTGCTGTCCATACTTAAGTATGTAAACAGTGACTTCTAATATTAATTTTGTAAATATCGCAAGATTCTTTCTCATAAATTAATCATTGCATACTGCTCTACTATGTTTGTATTCAATCAAGAGCAAACGTGTTATCTTGTTCTATCATGGCGAGATTGAAGTGACTTGCACCGAGCGTCTTCAGCGATTGACCGATTAGCCAATCGCTACAGAAAATTTATCTGAATTTATAAGACGCATTTGGTGTCAGTGCAGTTCTATTTGCTGTATTTGAACTCGACAACAGTTTTGCTCACAATTTTATCCGTTTCAGAATTGGCAGTTTTTATCTTATACTTTGTGTTAGGAAAGTATGAAAATAAAACAAAAATAAAAAATAGATGATGTTACTTTTTATATGCCTTAAAGTGGGTTAGCGTGATTGTGTGTTTAATATACAGCACGCCTTTTACACAATTCCATTTCTTATGTATATATGTACATACACACGCACGCACGCACGCACATCTATACAAACGAGCGAATCTGAAAATGTAATGAATTCTTTTTTGGTTGTTTCATATTACGTTGTATCAGCTTCAGCAAGCTGGGTTGTTCTATGAATTCGTATCACAAGTCATTTCCGCAGTTTCACCATTACTTTATTCTGTTTCTAATTTACGTGATAATATCACCATTATTAAGAATTTTATAAAATCTAGACATTCAAGTGCAAATCGCATACACAATCACACACATGTTGCGCATTCCGTATTACAACGTATTCAAGCGACCCGTCTTTAAGGCTATACTTGTAACATGCAAGTTCACAGAAGTTGGGTGCCCAGCATAAAGCATCGAACTAAATATTGCATGTAAATTATATTTTTCTTAAAGAAAGAATCTTCGACTTCTATGAAGATGTACGAGTGCGCGATACGACCACGGAGCACCCGCATAATAGGCCTTACTCTCTGTAAAGACCATCCCCAATGTATTAAATAAACTAAAGATCTTCATCATCCTCTGGTAATGCTGTTTCTTGAGCTTCTTTAAGATCTTTCTCAATTTGTTGCTGCCATTGTGGATCCATAGTGACTTCCGGTGGCAGCAGTGCAGGCATAGCGACAAATTCGAGGTTTGGATCTCCAATCAACTTGCGTGCTAACCATAGGAAAGGTTTCTCAAAGTTGTAATTGCTTTTTGCACTGATATCGTAGTACTGTAACATAAAGATTAAATATTTTATACATCTTGTAAAATTATACAGGATGTCTGAGGATTTAACGAACAAATCTACAGGAGTATTCTACAAGTGGAAATAAAAAAAAATGTTATATGAAGTTTTTTGCTAGAAATGCTTTATTGCAAAGTCATAAATAAATATTAAAACTGAATATGAAATAGGAAACAACGGATTTTCCATTATGCATAATAAGAAAGTGTATATTTTGTATTGGAAAGGTCATGTTTATCTCATGTATGTATGCATGTCATATATACTGTGTTTAAGGGAGTATATAGACGCGTCTAAACGAAATCTATAGCATCTATACTGGCTGTAACCGTATGCCGTAATCTGGAAGAATTGATCTTACAGTCAAATGAGAGGAATACTAGGCTGGTGATTGGTCAACTTTTCAGATTATGGCATATAATTATGGTCAGTATAAATGCTCCTTAACTTTGCAAATTTTTTGTGGAAATAGGGAAATTAAGTTTTTTCCATTAAAGGCCATACTTTTTTCTATTTCACATTTAAAATTTATTAAAAATAATTTAAAAAATGATGTTATTCAATGTCTTTTATTTAAGGTCATATTTTGAAAAAATAGGATTTGTAATGACCACTACTGTTCTCATAAAAAAAAACTCATCTGAAAGCAGTGCCACAAGTTTCGTAAAGTTGAAACATAGATGATCTGTTATCTTCACGTAGCCATTCATTGAAATAAAATATTGTATATATTTGAACAAAAAATTATTTTGCTCAAATAAAATATTTTAAAAATCGGTTACGTTAAAAAAAAAGTACATCTATTTTAACTTGTGGCATTTTGTTTTCAAACGAGTTTTTTTTTATGGGAGCAGCAGTGATCACCACAAAATCCAATTTTTTCAAAATATGACTTGGAAAAAAGTGAATAGCAATTTTAATAAAATTTAAACATAAAATAAAAAAATATAATATTTATAATGGAAAACAAACCCGACTCTATTTTCATTTTTTTCGTAAAAAATTCACAAAGTTTTATTTTTATGCATCTAGGTGCTTCCTTAAAGATAGTGAATATGATATGAATACACACACAAGATAAACACATTCGAGCTTTTCATAGACAAAATATACATTTTCATATTCTATACAATGGAAAATCCATTGTTTCATGTTCCATTTTAATTTGTTTATAACTTTACAATAAAGCATTTTTAGCCAAATTTCACATTACATTTTTTTCTTATTTTTACTTATAAAATATGCTCCTGTAGTTTGTTCATTAAATCTTAAGCTACCCTGTATATAACATCGATAATAGGATTTTCAGATTAGAGGGACAGTACGATGTCTTCACTTTACATCAGATTATTGAATCATTAAAAAATAATATTTGAAGGATATACAAAGAAAATGGACATACAGTTAATAACGCTATTTGCATATAAAAATACCTGGAGGTTCTTCTTCCTATGAAACACAATGCTCTTGGCCTTTACTTTTCTATCCTTGATGTCGACTTTATTACCACAAAGGACAATTGGTATGTTTTCACAGACACGGACCAGATCCCTATGCCAGTTAGGTACGTTTTTGTACGTCACTCTGGACGTAACGTCAAACATGATAACGGCACACTGACCCTGAATGTAGTAGCCATCGCGAAGGCCACCAAATTTCTCTTGACCAGCCGTATCCCAAACGTTGAAGCGGATCGGTCCACGATTGGTGTGAAAGATCAACGGGTGGACCTCGACTCCTAGAGTGGCGACGTACTTCTTCTCGAATTCACCGGTCAAGTGCCGTTTGACGAAGGTGGTCTTCCCAGTACCACCATCGCCGACCAGCACGCACTTGAAGGTGGGCATATCGGGTTCATTTGCCATTTTGATGGTTTTCGTGGACTCGCTCAAAATCAGGAACACACAATTCTGCAATGTGAGAAACTACATTAGATACCTAGGATATGTTTACAATGCTTGCAATTATCCTTGTTTAAGATTTATTTAATATTTAGACAAAATTGATGAACTGATGTTTGAGAACGTGAGCGTGAAAATGGAACGCACCCCTAGTTTAATGATCGTTTATTTGAACGAGTGAAAAAAACACGAATAGAGGAGTATGCACGCGGCACGGACTTTATGCGCAAAGATTCTGAGCAGCCGCTCTTCTACAGGAACGCTCGAGAGATCGATTGGGATGCGGTCCGAGAGGGGGAGGGGGGAGAGAGAGAGAGGAGAGAAAGAGAGCGAGAGAGACCAGAGACGTGGTCGAGAAAATTCGTGATTTCGCGTTTGAAAAGTGACCGTAGAAAATCCGGTTATGCGACTACTTGGAGTTCGCGCAATGACGATGCTCCATAAGTATTTTGCACGCGATGATCGATGATGGAAAGAATCGGAGCAAAAAGCTCCTTTCGGACCGGAGACCGGTCTAATCGGAGAGAGACCGAGGGGGTTGGC